ATTTCTTCACCTGTAAAACAAATAATTGCTTGCTTACAATACTTTTGCAGACACAGGTAGAGTGTCACCCTGTACACTGCAGAGACGGCATGTCTGCAGCACAGTTGCCTTACAGAAACCCTGGGATAACAACTCATGACAGATAAGACAGCAACATCCCAGTGAAGCATGTTGCCCACAAAGCGAGTACAGGGCCAGTCACAGATCCTTATCCAGCTCTATCACCCCTAGCAGTGCAACCTAAATTTGGGGTTGCTTTAAAAAATTAATTTACTCAAAAGGCAGACAGGAGGGTGGACAAGATCCCCCATCCTTGGGGTTATACATCTGGGTCTCCTACAAGGGTGTCAGAATCCCAGTACTTGAATCATCTGCAGCCTCTAAGGTGCTTTAGCAGAAAGCTGCATCAAAACCAATGAGTAGTCAGGACTCTAATGAACACCCTGATACAGGATATGGGTGTCTCAAGCGATAGCTCAACTCCTTGCACACAACACATACCATGTACCTTTTGGGCTGTTGTAAGAACAACAACATATAGAAGTACCTAGTAAAACTGTTAAATAAAATGTACTCAAAAAATGACTTATCATCAGGGGCCCTAGAGCGGTGACACAGCAAGCCAGTCCTCCGCACCACAGAGCCAGCATTCCCAGATGAGCCCTGGATTGTATCCCAGCCGTTCCACTTTTGATCCAGCTTTTTGGTTGTAGCTTGGCAAAGAAACAGAGGCTGGCCCAAGACCCTAGAACTTTGTGCCCATGTGGGAGACCCAGAGGAAGCTCCTGGCTTTGGAGATGGAAAGCTCCTGGCTTTGGAGATGGAAAGCAGATGGAAGACCCCTCTGTCTCACCTCTATAAAATCTGACTTTCAGATAAAAAACAAATAGATCTTTAAAAAATTACTTCTTATTATCATTCTACTCCTCTCCTACTTTGTCCATTACTAGACCAAAAAAATTTTAAACACTATTTTTTTTGAAGGTGCTTGCATAGTTTCTTTTTATTATTATTATTAATTGCATTGCATTATGTGACACAGTTTCATAGGCACTGGGATTCCCCCAACCCCTCCCCATACTCTCCCCCCATGTGGATTCCTCCACCTTGTTGCAGTATTACAGTTCAAATTCAGTCAAGATTCTTTCATTGCAAGTATATACCAAGCATAGATTCCAGCATCTTATTGTCCAGACAAATTCAACAGTTTCTTGGGGAGACGATCTCTGGTCTGAAAGTAGAACTGGTAGAACATCATCCCAATCTATTAAAAGCCCCAACATCAATAACAATTTACAACATTATGGAATTAATTGACGGTATTTAGTAACCAATATGTTAAAAAATGCAAGTTCTTAACCACATCCTGTGACTACTTAACATTTCAATTTTAGTTTATACACAATCGGCTTCTATACACCTTGAAATGGCTATAGGGTACTATTCAGCTGTCTTATGTCTTATTTTCATTTTAGTATTTAGCAGTTTATAGTATTGAAGCATAATTTTGCTGAACTTGGCAGATTTTAGGATAATCTAAACTGGCTTATAACTCTAACAAGGCATATATGTCAACAGTTAAGGTGCAGAATAGTTTTAGGAGGGGTGTAGAGAAATCTTCAATACCTTAGTGAGGAGTAACTAATCTTTGTGACCTACCTAGTAAGGTATATGTGAATCCACGCTGTTTCCTGTCTGGTTCTAAGCTTTCCTTGTTGTTCTCTATCTATTCTAATTTTTTTTGGGGGGGGGGTGGGTCCGGAGCAACGTTGATGGTCATTGCAAGAGAGGGTGGGGATCCAAAGTTGGAACTAAGTAAGGACCAGAGAAAGCTCCTCTCCCTAGTCCCGAAGGAAGTTTACTGTTCTTCTGTTTCTCAGGGCTCTCCTGCTTGTTGCTCCAATGACCTTGGATCCTGCGAGGAAGGATTTGAGCTTCTTTCATCCCTTGTGGGAGATCCAAACGGGGGTGGATGACCTCATAGTTCTCAGCCTCTGAAGGCACTCCAATTCCCTGTAGTCTTGGTGGTTGGGATGTAGTCCTTGGTGAGGATCCGGGAGTCTCCAGCGTTGGGATACAAGCCTCCTCCTATCCACCTGCTCCACTCTGGGGTCCCCCACCCCACCCGCTCCATGCATATGACCTCCTGTTAAGAGGTTGTCAGGACCACTCTTGATTCCCTCTATCTTTGTAGTTTTACTGTTGTCTAATGCTGATTCGAGTCTACTGTCTATAAGTTACTGTTATGTTCCTGATAGGTTATACTTCACATCTTCCTCACACTAAGCACTATTTTAATAACTATAAAGCACTGCCCTATATTCAGCAGAAGTCAGATTCTATAGAACTTCAGTATTTTTTAAAGAGTCATACCTCAAAGTCACATGGAAATCTTGAATGAATTCAAAGGGCAAGGTCCTTTCATATTTATATAAGTGGTGAATTTGAAGAAATCCTTTGGAAAGCTGGCTTGGAAAAGGTCTTAGAAGAATCTTTAAGGGCCCAAAGAAACTTCTGTTCCTTTTTTTCTCTTCAACTCACTGCACTATAGTTTCTCTGATGAACTGGGTCTTTGCTCTACAGATAAGTTACCAGCAAGGTAGATAAAGCCAAAGATTTCTGCTGGATTGAGTTACAAAGCCATTAGAGTATCTTGTGAAAAAAACACCAAACTGAAGATCCACAACTCATTTAAATAATTTAAGTATCTACAATTGCAAAGATATAGAAGGATCAGATCTGCTGGATTAATCGAAATAATTATGAATCTACAGCATTTTTAAGACAAAACATATTTGTTTTCATTCTGTTTGGGGGTGGAGGGCAGTGAGTGAATTTTTCACTCACCACTTTACTTCCTAAATGCCTTCAAATGGCTGGGCTGGGCCAGGCCAAAGTCAGGAGTTGGGAACTCAACCTGGGTCTTCCAAACAGGTGGCAGGGATGCAAGTATTTGAGCCATCATCTGCTGCCTTGCAGGATGGGCATTAGTAGACATACTGGATCAGAAATGGAATAGCAGCCACTCCAAAAGGAATCGTGGGTGGCCCCAGTGTCAACTTTACCAATGTACCACATGCCAAACCCAAAGCGACAACACTGCTGAAGGCCCTGAATTCTTACCAGTGAACAAAGCACGAGAGTACATTTACTTACCCAGTGAGTGCACGACTTTTCACACTACCTGATTTGGGAGGTTTGTCAGGACATGAGGTGCTTCGCTCTCATTTCTTCTGGGCCTCAACAGAAAACAACCTAAAATAGAACTCAAGGCAAACACCTTGGGGGCCACTTTTCTTTACTTTTAAAAAGATCCAATCAGGAACTAGCAAGGTGGCAGCATGGCATCCTCCCCCTGCATGTAGTGCTGGCATCTCATATAGGTGTCAGTCTGTGTCCCAATTGCTCCACTTCTAGTCCAGCTCCCTGCTAATGGCCTCAGAACGCAGTAGAAGATGGCTCAAGTCTTTGGGCCCCTGAACCCAAGTGAGAGACACAGAAAAGCTCCAGACTGGCCCAGCTTTGGCAGTAGTGACTAACGGGAGTGAACCTGCAGATGGAAAATCTCTCTCTTCCCCTCCTTTTCAGTAATTCTTTCAAGTGAAACAACTAAATCTTTAAAAATTCAACTAAATCTTTAAAAACACCATTTATAGCACTTCAAATTTTGTATGTACATGTCATATATTCTTTCCATTTATGCTATATATGCTTAAGGATAATTCAAATTATCTAAAAACATTTTTGTATTGGCCTTATCTTCATACAACTGATTCTCATTTGGCAAGTATCAGCATTAATTCTAGTTCAGTGAATGCTGGAAAGCATCCCGAGTTGGTCACTGCTGGGGATATCTATAGTCTATACTGGAGCAACCTTCCCGCTGCTGTATACCATGGAAGGCAAGAGATGAAGGCTCAGGTAGTTGGGTCTCTGTCACCCATGGGAGAACCGGGAGTGTAATTCTCGACTCCAGGCTCCTGTTCCACACATCCTTTGCTGTCTAGGACATTTGGGGAGTGAGCCAAAGGAAAGGAGATTTCAGTTTATCTCTCTCTTTGAAAGAACAAAACTAACTGCAAGCTTCAGTTACAGTATGAAAGGCACAGAACTGACAGATAATAAAAAAAGAAAACCAAATTCCCTCAAAAGAGCTGATGCAGTGTACTTCATCCTGGAAAAAGCCTTACTGTACCTAAAACAATATGAAAAAAGTTCAAGGTTCAAGTCACACTACTACCACTCACAAATCTCCCGCCGATGACATAACGTTTCAAAGTGTTTAAAGTAGAATGCTATTTAGGGAAGATAATAATTCCACTTGTTTGATGAAATTACTCTTAGTAAGAACACATCCTTCACTCTACCCATGTGTTAGCTCAAGTTATGTATTGGTCAAACTAGGTCACTGCTGCAACAGAAGTCGGCAACACCTGGATTTAATTTTCTTTTTTTCAGAGACAGGTCCTAGCGGACAGACTTCCCCCTAGGCAGTGGCCGAGGGGAAGCGAAGCCGGCCAATGCAGCAGGTGAAAAGCCTTCGGCTTAACTGGTTTCCCGGGCTTCCCGACAAAACGCGGCAGCTGGATTTGTGAAGAACAAAGTAAAATCGCATCCCAAGCGCAGGAGGAGTCCCTGAAAGCCCTTCACACTCCGGGCCCACAGGCGTGGAGCGCGGGGCTTCCTGAGGACATCCCGAGCCCCTCGCGGAGCGCCCACCCTCACCCCACACAGACGCAGGGGCCCCCCTCCGGGCGCCGAGCGGGTGACGGGCAGACAAAGGCGCGGGGCAGCGGGGCCAGGCGGGACAGATGCGGGGCGCAGGCCCGGGTGGGCGGCAGGCCGGCGGCCTGAAGCTGACACTCCCTCAGCCGGACTACCAGCCGGGACTAGCAGCTGGGCTGTGGAGCGGGCCGGCTGCGCGAGATGGAGCGTTTGGAGAGCGCGCCTCCGGCCCCGCCGGCCGGGACGCGGCCCGCTACCGTGGGCGTCTGGCTCACCTTCACAGGACCGCAGCGGCCCTCGCAGCGCCGGTGTCACCAGCAGTGGCCGGCACCGCCAGCTTGGGCGCCGCCAATCTCCCACGACACGGGGGCAGCGCCCTCACACGCCACCCTCACTCGCGGGCGGCGGCGGCGGCGGCGGCTGCGGAACAGCGCCGAAGAGGGGAGAGCGCCAGCCAATCACGGCCCAGCGCCACAGCGGCGGAGCCAATGAGCGCCGAGCTCCTGCGCGGCGGGAGGGAACCGGAGGCGCGGCTGCCACAGGCTGCAGCCTCGCCTCGCCTCGCCACGCCTCGCACGAGCCTTCCCCTGCTCCCCGGCTTGTCGCAATGCAGAGTCCCCACCCTCCTAGCGTCCTGTCTCTTGGCAACCAGATCCTTGGAGCCAGATACTCGGTGGCCAGCACCGAGTTCGCAGGAAACCGGAAAACGGGCAGAGAGAGGAGCTGGAACTGCGGAGTGGATTAAACGGTTAGTAGCGCAGGTCATCTTAGAACAGGAAGATGATTTGATCTGATAGCCCCGATGGCACACCCGATGGGTGTAGCCTTGTCATGTAATTAACTCTAGATACGCGTTTAAAAAAATATACATTAATAGGCTCGACATATGAGTCTTTGAATTCTGGGTGGAATTTAGTAAAATGCATTGGCTCAATATTGTAAGTGCTACATGCCAGTATCTTTTATTTCCACTTGACAGCATTTGAGAACCAAAACTAGTGTTGGGCCCGGCGCGGTGGCGCAGTGGTTAAGGTCCTCGCCTTACACGCCCGGGATCCCACATGAGCGCCGGTTCTATCCTGGCAGCCCTGCTTCCCTTCCAGCTCCCTGCCTGTGGCCCGGGAAAGCAGTCGAGGACGGCCCAAGGCTTTGGGACCCTGCGCGCAGTGGGAGACCCTAAGAGGCTCCTGGCTTCGGATCGGCATAGCATTGGCCGTAGTGCTCATTTGGGGAGTGAATCATCGGACAGATCTTCCTCTCTGTCTCTCCTCTCTGTATATCCGCCTTTCCAATAAAAATAAAATAAATCTTAAAAAAAAAACCTAGGTGTTAGGATCAGAAAAAAGTAAAGCCTTATGCAATGAAAGATTATTCTAATGAGATCTAGTCATTGAGTAGGGGTAAGTGGCTCACAGAACAGAACGTTGGGGTTTTTTTTTTGTAATTGTATCGCCTGTAATTTTTCTGTGTTTTACTGTTTTTGCAACAAAGACATTAAAGTTAGATAGGTTGTGTATCACAGGGATAATTAGGTTAGGTAAAGAGAACTGTTCCCTTCCCCATTGTCTCCTCCCCCCACCCCGACTTCTCCCTCTTCACATAGACTGGTTCACTGTTGGGAAAGGAGTAAACCACATGAAACCATGACAAAAACCATCACAGCAAGAATACAGATTGGTGCTGGGTCCTGAGGTAAAGCAGGCCTCTGGATGTTATACCAAAGTGTTTGTCTTGCTTTAGCATTCCTCCATTTCTGTTTCAGCAGCTTCGAGTGTGCCCTGGAGAAAGTGGGTCCTGCAAAGTGGTGTGCTACCATAAGACAGAGATGGCATTGGCTGGCAGTAACAGCTTGCAGTCTGGAAGACCGGTGGTTCTTCTGAATGCAGTGGGAAAAGTGTCCCCTGTGTTAACTCAGAATATGATGAAGTCTACCCTTCTGAGGGAAGTGGCGCAGGAAAGATAGAATGTAAGTTAGTGTGGGTTACCAGTCACTGCTTTTAGTAAAGTTTAACAAAATCAAAGTCAGTTAACCATTAGCCAGTTTGGGGGGATTAAGCCACCACTTAGGGTTCTCTGCATCCCATACTGGAGTGCTGCTTTGTGTTCAATTCTTCTGTTTCTTATTGTTAGATTTCTGTTAATGTGCTTAGAGCTGGTGTTGTGTTGCAATAGATGAAGCCACAGCTTGCAATGCCAGCATCTCATGATCAACATGCCAGTTCAAGCCCCTGCTGCTGGAAAAGCTGAGGATGCCTGGGTGTCTGGGCCCCTGCCACTCATGTGGGAGACCCAGATGGAGTTCCAGGATCATGGCTTCAGCACGGTCCAGCCCTGGCATGGCAGTCATTTGGGGAGTAAACCAGCAGATGGAAGATATCTGTTACTTTGCTTGTCATATAAGTCAGTCTTAATTTAAAAACTTTTTAAAAATTTATTTTGATTTAAAAAAATTTGTTTTCACAAATTAAAATACACGTTTAATACAATCATTAATGCTGGTAGAGTTTTCCAAATTTATGACTTAGTTGCCGTGAATCATGCATGAACAACCAATTTTTGTAGACTATAAAGGTATATAAAACTACACTAATAGGGCCTAGCGGCGTGGCCTAGTGGCTGAAGTCCTCACCTTGAATGCACCAGGATCCCATATGGGCGCCGGTTCTAATCCCGACAGCCCCGCTTCCCTTCCAGCTCCCTGCCTGTGGCCTGGGAAAGCAGTCAAGGAAGGCCCAAAGCTTTGGGACCCTGCACCCCTGTGGGAGACCCGGAAGAGGCTCCTGGCTTTGGATCAGTGCAGTACCGGCCGTTGTGGTCACTTGGGGAGTGAATCATCAGACAAAAGATCTTCCTCTCTCCTCCTCTGTATATCTGACTTTCCAATAAATGCATCTTTTTCCTTCAAGTGAGTCAAAGGCACGTAGAACTCTTCTCATACCTTAAAAAGCACATTTTCAAATGCCTATCTCAGTTTACAGCTCTGTGTGTGGCAAAAGGTGAAATACATATGCCTACAGTTTAAGTCTGATGGCTTTTTTTCCCTGAAAGTATGCCTTTCCAACCTGATATCATTACTATCCCTCATTTGTTTCTTCTTACAGCCCACTGAGAATATATCTCAGTTAATTATTTGTTTCAACCTCTGATAGAACTACATGGTTAAAAAGATCAATTTGTGGGGCCCGGCATGGTAGCCTAGTGGCTAAAGCCCTCCTCTAGCATGTGCCAGGATCCCATTTGGGTGTTGGTTTGTGTCCCAGCTGCTCTGCTTCCTTTCCAGTTCCCTGCTTGTGGCCTGGAAGGCAGTGGAGGATGGCCCAAAGCCTTGGGTCCCTGTACCGCATGTGAGACCCAAGGGAAACTCCTGGCTTTGAGTTGGCTCTGCTCTGGCTGTTGCAGATATTTGGGGAATGAACCAGCAGATGGAGGACCCTTCTCTCTCTGTAAAATCTAAGAAAAATAAATCTTTTAAAAAAATCAGTTCGCGGTTTTACATTTTAGTTGTTATCCCTTTTAAAAACAGCTGTAAACATGTCATGAAGAATTTGGCTACCTAATAACCCGTCTTCTCAAGGCATTTCACTCACTACTGTGATGACATACTGTTTCCTATCATTTATTTCTTATGGAATCTGTTTTCTTGGCATTGGCACCATTATGTGTGTGTGTGTGGTTTTTTTTTTTTTTTTGGCTATTTTTTCTTTATATTATATCCAGATATGGAAGAATAGAACCTTTTTTTTTTTTCAGATTAGTCTTATTTGAAAGGCAGAATGAAAGAGGGAAAGATGCAGAGACACAGATGCTTCAACTGCTGGACCACTCCCCATAGGGCCACAGTTGTCTTCAGGGCTGGTGGATCCAAAGCCAGGAGCCTGGAACCCCGTTTGGATTTCCTTGAAAATATAAATTTGAATACATAATGAATTCATCCTAACATACCATTCAGTCTAACATGATTCCTACTGGTTTCCACATGGAAGTTCCCTAGAGCAGCATGCATGCACTCTGGCATCTGTTTCTCCACTTACTGAGTTGAAGAAGGAGTGTTAGTGGATTGGAAAGAAACTCTGATCTGTAGTCTTCCAACCCTCTCCAAATTTTTCACTCCATCTGTTTATTTGCTCTAAAGGGACTTTGATTTGTGTTCTTGGCCAGTCTCAAAGTTTGGTGGCTTATTCAGCCTGAGGCTGGAATGATGCTCGGCAGAAACACTAGTAAGCCCGGTACCATGTTCTCCAGGCCAACTCTTACTCTAACAGAGTTCATCACTGAAGATGAGAAGACTAAGGTAAATCTGTCATGACACACGGACCACACCCACACCACTCATCTTTCAAAGGTCAGAGAGCTGCACTGTGAAAGAAATGGACATACTCCAAACTATGTAAAGATTGTCAAAAATATAACAACAACAACAACAAAAGAAATTGACATACTCCAATATTACAGACCAGAGAACCACCTTTTCAGCAATATGCAATATTTAGCAAACATGTTATATTGCCTGGGTAATCAGTTGGCATCCCTTATTTATCCTAACACAGTAGATTCCTAAGGAAACATTGCTAAATAGAGTGTAAATCCATGACCACTTTTTTTTTTTTTTTTTTTACAGAGAAAGGGTTTTGTTCAACTCCTATCATTAATGGATCAAAATGATTCACAATTCATATTATATTCCAAAATTAACTCCAACTAGAGACATTACATTAAATAGTAAACTAGAAAACTGACTGAACAACACATGAAATACATAAACTGGGGAGTTTCCAGTAAGTGGAGGACACCACAAATAATAATTATAAAAGCTAAGGCATTTCAGGGGCCCAGAGCGGTAGCCTAGCAGCTAAAAGTCCTTACCTTGCATGCGCCAGGATCCATATTGGTGCCAGTTCCTGTCCCGGTAACCCCACTTCCCATTCCAGCTCCCTGCTTATGGCCTGGGAAAGCACTTGAGGATGGCCCAAAGCTCTGGGACCATGTACCTACATGGGAGACCTGGAAGAGGCTCCTACTCCTGGTTTCAGATTGGCTCAGCTCCAGCTGTTGTAGCCACTTGGGGAGTGAATCAGCAGATGGAAGATCTTCCTCTCTGTCTCTCCTCTTCTCTGTATATCTGACTTTCCAATAAAAAAAATAATAATAAAATGTGTATATGTACATACACACACACAGCTAAGGTATTTCCAACAACCAAACCTGACAGGATCAAGATCTAGTATGCTCATATGTAAAGAATTTCTTGGAAGCTACAGCCCATGATGATAATTATGGGCACCAATTTGGGTGCCAGATGCTCCACTTGTGATCCAGCTCCCAGCTAATGCACCCGAGAAAAGTGGAAGATACCTAACTAATTGGCCCCTTGCACCCACATGGAGACCCAGAAGCTCCTGGGTCCTGGCTGTAGTCTGCCCCCACTGCAGCCATCTGGGGGAGTAATCCAGAGGAAGGAAGATCTCTTTGTCTTTTTCTCTGTTACTCTGATTTTCAAAAAATAAAATCAAACTTTAGAGAAAGAAACTTCTAATATCTTAATCAGCAAGAAAAAGGAAAACCTATTAGAAAAATAGGCAAATTTTAAGTACAGGCAATATATGGAAAGCCAGAATGGCTAGCAAACATATATTTACTCTTCTTAATAATTAATAATACAGCTAAAAAATACATAAATCAGTAAAAATCACAAAATATCCAGGGCTACTGAATATGTAAAGAAAATGAAACCTTTGTTTTATTAGAAGGGAAAACTGGTAAACCATTCCTGAGAACAACCCAGCATCCCTTAGTAAAGTTAAATGCTATCCTTAAAGCTCTAGCCATTTCCTCTAGAACATTCACATTGGAGAACCAGAGAGAGGGCTCACAGGGAAACATGTATAACTCTGTGTAAGTGGGAATAACCTAAGTATTGATAATCAGAGGAAAATTTAAGTTTACGCACATGAAAACAGCAGAGTGATATGTGCCAACCGCCTATTACAGGGTCTGGAGAAAGTTCATGGAAAATTGCATATTATAAAAAATTGTGCTTGGATTTCAAATTTTTTCACCAAATAAACTTACGTTCTAATTCTGTTTTTAAACAAGTTTTTGAAGTCCCTTTATATAATTAAAACAAATAGTGCTTAAAAACCCAAGCTTATGAGAATGAAATTGATACCACAATATCATTTATATAAAAATTTAAAACTTATAAAAATAACTACAAGTTCTTCAAGAAAATACAGACGAGCTGGGAGGATAAACATGAAATGCAGTAAGGAATGAGGATCATGGGACTGCAGGCAGGGATGTATGAAAGCTATTAAGGCAAAACAGAGCAACTATAGCCTTTCTGTATCCATGATACTGATATCTTTAATGAAGAGTATGATCAATGACTGTTTCAATTCTGAACACTGAGGTCCTTAAAAAACAGAACACTTAACTTGACACAAACAGAAATAATTTAGCAACTTAAGTTAGATTACTTCAACGTTATCCTTTAAAAGGTAAAAATTATACATGGCCATACTGTAGTGATTCATGGAATTCCTGAGTAGTTGAACTGAAAAGATAGCTTCCTCTCCCAAATAACATAAAAATAAGACTATTTCAAACCAAATAATGAGAAAACAAAAATTTCTTATGTTGAACAAATAGTTCATGGTGCTTGGGCCTGGCGCAGTAGCCTAGTGACTAATGGCTCGCCTTCCACATACAGGGGTCCCATACAGGTTCCGTCTCTAATCCCAGCTACCCTACTTTCCATCCAGCTCCCTGCTTGTGGCCTGAGAAAGCAATGGAAGATGACCCAAAGCCTTGGGAACCTGCACTTGGGAGACCTGGAAGAGGCTCCTGGCTCTTGGCTTTGGATAAGCTAGGCTCTGGCTGTTGCAGCTGCTTGGGGAATAAATCAGCTGACATTAGACTTTCCTCTCCTCTTCTCTGTATATCTTTCAAATAAAAAAATAAATCTTAAAAAAGAACACTAAAATAATTTTATTCATTGATTTGGGAGGCAGACACCCCCGTCAGAATGAGAGAGAAAGCATGCCAGGAATGCAATCCAGGACTCCTGCAAGTGGCCAGGACACGGCCACCGGAATGCTCCCCTGCTTCCCAGGGTCTGCACCACAGGAAGTTGGGACTGGGAGCTGGAACCCACAAACTGAATCCAGACACTCTGAAATGGGACACACACTCACATACACGAGATCATTTTAAATTAAATACTGGGCTGAGTTAGAGTATAAAGTATAAAGTTAGAGTATAAAGTACTAATTTTAATTTTTTTAAAAAAGATTTATTTCCACTGCAAAGTCAGATAGGGGGAGGGGGGAAGATCTTTCATCTGTTGATTCACTCCCCAAGTGACCGCAACGGCAGATGCTATGCCAATCCGAAGCCGGGATCCAGGAACTTCTTCCGGGTCTCCCACACGGGTGCGGGGTCCCAAGGCTTTGGGCCGTCCTCGACTGCTTTCCCGGGCCACAGGCAGGGAGCTGGATGGGAAATGGGGCTGCCAGGATTAGAACTGGTGCCCATATAGGATTGTGGCACATGCAAGGCGAGGACTTTAGCCGCTAGGCCACAGCGCTGGGCTGCTAATTTTAATTTTTAGTTAAATATGTGAGCATCTGAAATTCTAGACTGATAGAAATACTGATACTTTTATTGGATTTAAGAAATTTAAATATACATAAAATAACTTACAAAGCATGTAATTTTTAAAATTGTGCTTTTTTAAAGTGCTCATATGTTGGGGAGATGTAGTTGCTATCACTAACGTTTATCAACAAGGAGTCTGAAAAATAATGCAATTTAAAATGTTACAGACAGTGGTGTCCAAACTATAGGTCTCTCAAATATTAATTTTGAAGCCTTATTTTTAATTCACCTGTAATTTTTGTGTAAATCAAGTATTTTTTCTTCAAACAACAAAGACACAGACATATTAGTTTACATAAGTACATACATACTGACAAGAAAAAATGGAGGCTTTTATAATTCCAATCTTGTAAAAGAGTTAATATTTTCCTTTAAAAATATTAATCAAGTTTTATATATTTTATTTCTCCAATAAAAGAAATTTTACAATATTAAAAATAAAATAGCATTGAATTTCTTTTCCACAGAGAGGATAAAATGAAGGATAGCTTATGCACACTTATGACACACTGACAGGTTAACTCAAGTACCTAAATGAAATCTCAAATCATGAAAACTTCTGTCCTCTTAAAGTTATTTAAATAAAAAGAACAGTTTGGTTTCCATTAGTAACTTCTGTAAAGTAATGCTTCTTAAAATTTAGTAGTTGCTAAAAAGGAAAGTAATGGGGCCTGGCTCGGTTGTTTAGTGGCTAGCCTTGCATGCACCAGGATCTCATTGGGATACTGGTTCTAATCCCGGTAGGCCCACTGCCCAATCAGCTTCCTGCTTGTGGCCTGGGAAAGCAGTGGAGGATGACCCAAAGCCTTGGGAACTGCACCCACATGGGAGACCTGGAGGAGGCCCCAGACTTCTGGCTTTGCATTGGCTAGTTCTAGCTGTTGACAGAAGATTTTCCTGACTGTCTCTCCTCCTCTTTGTATATCTGACTTTCCAATAAAACTAAAATAAATATTTAAAAAAGGAAAGTAATGGAGCCATCACCATTATATTTAATCTCATCTTAAAATTAATCTAAAACTATTATTATAAAAAAAAGGTTAGAAAATTTCTATGATTATTCTAGTCTTAAATGCTTTTCCTATAATTTTAACATAAAGGGAATTTCCAGGTACAGTTGCAGTAAGAAAATGTACACTGAATTTAGCATATTTAATCAAACAATAGACAGCTTAAGGAAAGTAAAATAGCTTTGTCATTGATTTTGTGCTATCGTTTTTCCTACAAACCCTAAATAAGCAATCATAAACTCTATGATGACTCATCCTTTCTAATGTAATCACTATTGACTCTACTTTTCCCTTCCACTTTCCTTTTAGAATTTAGCTTAGATGGGCAAACAACAGGTTATGAAAAACTTGTTTCACAAACAGGATTTCCATGAATTACTTCCTAACATATCAAAGCAAAACTTACTACTATCTTCTCAATTGTGGGTTAGAGAGACATCAGTGTTATAAAAATGGGCCTAAGGAAATTTTTTTTGCATAGTTGAGATTTCTAGTTTAAATGAAATGTTACTAATTTAAATGACATATCATACTCTTCATTTCAAAACAGGGTTTTCCCAAGAGCCTTTAGAAAAATTCCCTGATGGGACGTGATGCTGTGGCCTAGTGGCTAAAGTCCTTGCCTTGAACGTGCCAGGATGCCATATGGGCGTGTGTTCTAATCCCAGTTGCCCTGCTTCCTATTCGGCATCCCTATCTGTGGCCTGGAAAAGCAGTTGAGGACGGCCCAAAGCTTTGAAACCCTGCACCCATGTGGGACACCCAGAAGAGCTAATGGCTCCTGGCTTTGGATAGGCGCAGCTGGGGCCTTTGCAGTCACTGGGGCAGTGAATCATTGCACGGAAGATATTTTTCTCTGTCTCTCCTCCTCTCTATATGTCTAACTTTGTAATAAAAATAAATAGAGCTTAAAAAAATTATTTGATGCTTGGTGTTTTTTCTAATTCCTGTATGTGTTAATCTGAATTTTTTTGGAATTGTTTGGTAAATACAGTCTATAGGAATAAAGATGAAAAATAACTGATTTTTAAACTTTGTCAAATAATTCTAAGTTTTTAACAAAACCTGTAAGTATACTCATGTACCTTTGTATTCCTGATAGTATTAATATATAGAATGAATATAGCAAGTGTACAAAGTTCCCAATTTTGTCTGGTAATACTCAGTGTACTGAAAGATAATCACATTTATGCCCATCAATAAACAAATAAGACAAACAGCATTATGATATTCTAAATGTCAACTGAGTATTTTGTTTAATAGTCCCAGTAGTGAAAAGTGAACCTGAAACAAATTTTTATTTAAAGTGACACATTTTCAATGTTTAAAGAATATCATGAATACCGAATTCTGAAAAGTGGAAGCAGAGAATCTATGAAAAGATTAAAAAGAATACTGCTAAATTTGGGTACATCCCAAAATTTAGAGTGCAAACTCTAAAAGGAATACTGCAAAAGCTATACTTTATCATCCTATAACTGTCTCCTTCATAATGCCTCTACAGATGTTCTTAAGATGAATTTTGAAAAAATATAAAATAGCATTAATTATTTGTAGGAGGAATCATATTACTGTCTAAAGCAAACTCAACACTGCATATTATATGGATCCGAACATTTTTATTTTTCTGTTTACTTAGTTGTTTAAAAAAAGTATCCTTTTGCCTGCTCTTGTATTTGTTATCACTCAATTTCTGAAGACTCCAAATCAAGTAATTTCAACTCTAATAAGCATTAATGATCCTTACTGTTGCAAGCCATACATCCCATAGTTCATCAATCTCATGTTTCCAAAAAACCCAGGGATTTAAAAGATGAAAACTATAGCAGTCTTCACAATCTTAAAATCTAGGAGAAACAGATGTCCTCATGGTCACATAACTTGCAACACATATAACCAGTTCACTAGAGCCACATACTAGCATGTAACTAACAATTTCTAGCAGCAAAACTCCTGAAATATCCAATAGTATATTTTCATTAGATTGTGGCTTTGTCAGAAATAATTTTAAAAAGTATTCTACTGTCTAACTGCACAGTCATGAAAGATATTAAAGATCTTGTTTATTTCCACTTTTCCCTGTGGAATCTGGTGCCACTGAAGCCTTATTTGTCTCAACAAAAATAGATTCAAAGGCGGCTTCCTGTTCATCCAAAGAAACAGTGCTTGTGGTTCCTTTTGTTGGTGTGGGCTTGGTGAAAGATTGCTGCTGCTTAGTAATTTTACTCAATTGTGCCGTTTTTTTACCTCTTCTTTTACCGAGAATTTTGACATAATTTGCAGGTATAAGTCCTGTTGTATGACCATCAAGACTAGCCAGAAGCCAACCACGAATTCTGGGCTGTTGTTCTGTTGGGGGAAAAAAAAAGTTGGTATGGTGATTGAATAGACTATTACAACGTATTATATTAAGTAAAATCTGTTACACTTACATAATAGGATATATAACAAAGAGTACATTCATTTCTATATTCAAAAACAAATGCTGAGTAGGCGTTAACAGTTCCAGGGTACATAACTGTAACTTACACTTTAAATTTTATACTTAGTAAATGTTTTTTCTACCTTGAAGAACATTTTGTCAGTTGGCACATTCTCGGAGCTAACTGATTCACACCTTGAGATAGTATGCTAAGACTGCACCTGCAGGACCAGTTCATGTCCCAGTCAGCTCCCTGGGTATAGCCTAGGAAAGCAGTGGGGGATGGTCCAAGTCTTTTGGACCCTGCACCCACATCAAAGACATGAAAGAGGCTCCTGGCTTCAGATCACCTCAGCTTTGGCTACTGCAGCCCTATAAGGAGCAAACATAACATAAATATTTTAAATAAGATTTTAAACATAGACTTAATTAAATCATTTGGTCTGGACCTGCCAAATCAAATGAGGTGGGACTCAAAATTAAGTTAAAAAGAGTTTTATTTTATTTACTTGAAAGGCAGAGTTACACAGAGGGAGAAAGAGAGATATCTTGAATCCACTGGTTTATTCCCCAAATGGCTGCAACAGTTGGAGTTGAGCTAAGTTTATCTGAAGCCAGGAGCCAGGAGCTTATTCTGGGTCTCCCACTGGATGCAGGGGTCCAAGGATTTGGACCATCTTCTACTGATTTCCCAGACACATTAGCAGGAAGCTGGATTAGAAGTGGAGTAGCTGGGACAAACTTGCCAACATGGAATGCTGTCACTGTAGGTGGAAGCTTAGCCTACTCCAGAGTTGGGAACAACTTTGATGGGGCATTTCTTCTTGTCTCACCCAGCTTTGGAAGGCCTAAACTGATAGCAAAGAGAAGTTCTAGGAGTCTCATCAAAGTTAACTTACCATAAGATCTCTTGCTCTGTCTTTAATAATATATTTGCAAATATTAAAAAAATAAGAGGGAATTACAACCTGCTCATGGTTTGTTACCTTTGAGAGCTAAATTCAGCATATCACCAGCACGGAAAGAAATTTCTTCTTCTGATACAGCAGCAAAATCATATTCAGCTCTAGCAACTACATGGTCATCCTCACCACTTGCCCAGTTGCTGTTACCTATAAAAGCAAATTGAGATAATGTCACTAAAACTTGCAAAAGATACATGCAGGTATTTCACTGAGTTGGATTATAAACTCCATAAATTTACTTATCAAGAGAAAAGTTGTGGACCTGGCAATGTGGTACAGCATTTTAAGTTGTCACCTGTGAGGCCCAGCACGAGGTGGAGTCTTGAGGGCTCCATTTCTGATCCAGTTCCCTGCTAACATGCTGGGAGAGTAGCAAATGGTAGCCCTAGAGCTTGGTCCAAGTCTCTCATGTGGCAGGTCTGGATTCAACATGGCCCAGCCTCATAAGTCGGGGCATTCAGGTAGTGAAGCTGCAGGTGCAAGATACCTCTCTGTTTATCTCCCTTCCTCTCTGTGACACTGCAGGCAAGCAGGCAGGCAGGAAGGAGGAAGGAACAAAGGAAGCAAGGAGGGGAGAGGAGGGGAGGGATGGGGAGGGGAGGGAGGAAGAAAAGAAAGAAAAGAAAAGAAAGGAAAAGAAAAGAAAAGAAAAGTTCCAAACCCCAAAGAAATTTTACAAGGAATACTGAAGTTGGTAGGATATCTAATATAAACTTTTTCTTTAAGTTCCAGCTCCCTTTAGCCAGGAGTTGGTCATTTGTTTCTAAAAACAGTCTACCAGTAAATATTTTAGGTTTCACAGGCCAAGGGGCAAAATAATGGATGTCGTGAAATCATATCATGAAAAAAAAATTTTTTTGTATTTTAACAAAATTTAAAATGTACTTTTTAGTTTTTTTGGTTAACACAGGCCTACTATTTAGAACAGAATGCTTGAAGAGGGTATATAATGCTTCACTTAACTAGGGTTCATTTGCAAATATTCATTTGTTAAGATATGAGGCATTTTGGCAGCTCTGCTTTCAGACCAGAGATGGTCTCCCCAAGAAACTGTTGAATTGAGCTGGACAATAAGATGCTGGATTCTGTGCATGGTACATGCTGGCAATGAAAGAAACAAGACTGGATTTGAATTGTAATACTGCGATAAGGTGGAGTAATCCACCATGGGGGAAGGGCACGGGGAGGGGTTGGGGGAACCTCAGAGCCTATGAAATGATGTCATAAAATGAAATGCAATAAAAAAAAATTGAGGTATTTTGTGCCCGCCACAGTAGCCTAGTGCCTAAAGTCCTCGCCTTGCACGTGCCAGGATCCCATTTATTTATATTTTTAAAAGATTTATTTCCTTTTATTGGAAAGAGAGATTTACAAAGAGATGAAGAGACAGTGAGAAAGGTCTTCCATCCACTGGTTCACTCTCCAAATAGCCATAACAGCTAGAACTTAGCCACACTGAAGCCCTGAGCCAAGAGCTTCTTCAGGGATCTCATAAGGACAACGAATCGTGTCCCAGTTGCTCCACTTCCTGTCCAGCTCCCTGCCTGTGGCACAAGAAAGCAGCTGAGGATGGCCCAAAGCCTTGGGACCCTGCATCCATGTGGGAGATCCGGAAGAGGCTCATGGCTTCTGGCTTTAGATTGACTCAGCTCCGGCTGTTGTGGCCACTTGGAGAGTGAACCAGTGGATGGAAGATATTTCTCTGACTCTCCTTCTCTCCATTATATCTGCCTAATAAAAATAAAAATACATAAAATAAAAAAAAATTTGAGGCATTTCATCTTTGAAAATGTCCTCCAGGGCTGGCACGGAAGCTCAACATGCTAATCCTCCTCCACCTACAAGCACCAGTATCCCTTATGGCACCTGTTTTGAGTCTGAGCTGCTTTTCTTCCATTCCAGCTCTCTGTCGCCTCCCTCCACTGCTTTCCCAGGCCACAGAGAACTGCCTCTAAGGATATGCTAGTATGAGGACAGATTAGAAGTGGAGTAGTGGGAACTTGAACAAGCACACTGATACAGGAATGCTGGTATGGCAACCAGCTTAATCTGCTGTGTCTTAAGACAGCCTGATTTTCTGCTTACGTACTTTTGTTCAAGCTGTTTCATCTGGTTAAGTCTTTACCCTTCCTCCCATTTAACTCATGAAGCATTACCTATACATCAAAAACTTAATTTGGGGGCCCAGCGTGGTAGTCTAGTGGCTAAAGTCCTTGCCTTGCACACACTGGGAGTCCCACATGGATACTGGTTACTGTCCTGGTGGCTCTACTTCCCATCCAGCTCCCTGCTTGTGGCCTGGGAAAGCAGTTGAGGATGGCCCAAAGCCTCGGGACCCTATGCCCGTGTGGGAGACCTGGAAGAGTTCTTGGTTCCTGGCTTTAAATCGGCTCAGCTCTAGCTGTTGCGACCACTTGGGGAGTGAATCATCAGACAGAAGATTTTTCTGTCTCTCCTCCTCTCTGTATATCTGATTTTCCAGTAAAAATAAATAAATCTTAAAAAAATTTCAGATGCTATTTCTTTCTGTATCATAGCAAAATATGTTTGCTTCACTTTTATACACTAAGACGTCATTCTGTACCAGCTGACACAGTATGGCCTAAATAGTGAAGCAACCCTAGTTTTGTTTGTCCTTCTGCCTTACTAAAGACTTCAGGCCGATAATTTCTTTGAATCTTAGTTTTGTCACTTGTAAAATGAGTATAATTCCTTGCTTTGGATTGCTGAAACAGTGAAGTGAGATATAAACATATCAAATATCCAACTGCCAGCTACAGCAGTTGTCCTCCATAAAAAAACAGCCCAAGGAACCATAGGTTTCTCCATCATTATCATATTCCTTACCATACTATTCTATATCATTAGTATTACCTATATTTATATGTTAACTGGCTTCCAATCAAAAAGTTTCAGGAAGATACCGATTCTGCCTTATCTACCTTTGTATCCGCAATAGCACCAAATTCAGTACTTTATAAACTGAAGTCAGGCAACAGATACTATTAAACTAATTAACAGTAAATACTTTAGCAAACCTATTTTTAATGCATATTCCTATTGAAAATGCAATCTCAACCAGATATTTAAATACAAATGAAAAAATTTTAAAAATCTCTTCTTGAAAACTGAGACTGTTATAATATGGCTTTTAAACCCATTCCTTTATTCTTACCTGTTACTTCATCACTGTGAGTAGAAAGAAGTTTCCAGATGAGGTAAGGACCACCAAGGATAACAGCGAAGAACAAGAATATGGGCCAAGATTTTGCTGAGTTAGCTGCTTGGTCCTCGGCACCAAGGCAAGCCACAGTTCCTTGACTTTCTGCCCAGAGGTCCTCATTCTCAGAGCCTCTTCTTAAACCTATTATGCGCTGCAACCGTCTGTAAAGATATCTTATAGTCCTAACTAAAGCAAAAGCTGAGAACACCTTTGTAAAGTGTATTTTTAATCGGGAAAAGTGATTTGCTACATCCAGTACTGCCCTAAAACTGTTATACACAGCTGAAAAGGTGGCGTCCATCATCATACTGACAGAGGCAAATGCATGCACTATGCTTTCAATGGACTGAAATGCACCTCTGCTGCTTTCTTCAGCTTGCTGAACAAATCTACTGGGTGGAAGATCATCCATGCGGAGGCGGTTGTATCCCAACCCACCATATCCATAACTATATGGGCTATAGCTTCCATAAAACGTATTTCCATAGGCACCATAGCCAGAAGAAAATGAGCTGTAAGCAGGTCTGAACGTGTTCACGTTGCTGCCTCCTGTCTGCTGGGATGGCCTTGGAAGAATAGGTGGGGGCAATCTGGTAAGTGTTGGCTGTCCAGGTCTTGTTAATAAGGTAGGACCCAAATCAGCAGATCTAAAACAAACAAAACAAAAACAAAAGACCACAGAGTTAAATACAATAAAGTTAACTCGGAGTAACTATTAAACGCTTCCTACGCATCTAGTGTTATGGCAGATTATCCTGAATATGTTTTTGGAGTGCAGTAGTCCCCTTTAGACATGGTCTTGCTTTCTGCAGTTTCAGGTATCCACAGTCAGTGCATTCAGCAGTGATGTACAGCACTCCGAGGGGGAGAGACTGTATCCCCCTAACTTTGCTACACTATATTGCTATACTGCTCATTTTACTACATATTGTTAGTGATCTCTTACTGTGCCTAATTTTTAAACTGAAAATAAATGGTATGTATGTATGAAAAATGTAGTATATATGAATATGTACAGTTTGATACTATCTACATCTCAGGCATCCCCTGTAGAGGAAGAGGAACTATGTTAAGGAAATATCCCTATTATTCAGATACTCAGAATCTTACTGTGATAAGACAGAAAAATAGCTGACTGAATTCTACTATCTTCTTATTTAGTTATATCAGCATTACCTTAAATCTGTGGTTTCTTTTTAAGAATATTTGCTCAGTCTCTCAAGGTAACGAGAACCTTATTTTGTACATTTAAAGGGCACCGTCATAACATCACAGAATTTTCTAACAAATCTTCATGCACAGTAAAATAAAGACCACCCACATTGTTCTTTGACAGTATCTTAGCTGCTTGACCTTTCACAGTGTCATAGACATTTTATGGAGTTTCAAGTTTTTCTCCCCTGTTCCCAGCAAAAAAACAAACAAAACCTGTTGAGATTCTGCATGAAATTATATACTGAATCTATAACTGGATGCAAATAATTTTTCTAATACTAAAAGTTTCAATCCCCGGGCTGGTGCTTTGACTCATTCGGCTAATCCTTCACCTGTGAGAGTCAGCATCCCATATGGGTGCTGGTTCTTGTCCCATCTGTTCCACTTCTCATCCAGCTCCCTGTTTCTGGTCTGGAAAATCAGTGGAGGATTAGCCTAAAGCTTTGTAACCCTGCACCCACGTGGGAGGCCTGGAAGAAGCTCTTGGCTCCAGCTTTCAATCATCTCAGCTCTGATCATTAGAGATATCTGGGTAGTGAACCAGTGCATGGAAAATCTTTGTGCCTCTCCTCTTGGTAAAACTGCCTTTCCAACAAAAATAAACAAGCCTTTTCAAAAAGTTTTAATTTCAAGTATAATATTGAACCTTAAATGTTCCAGTTTAGTTTTAGTATTTCTTCTTTAGGCTTATTCTGATATATTTGTTAACTTTTAAAAACTTTTAATTTCTAACTTTTAATTTGATGATACAATTCCACAGTCTGGGTTCCCTACCTCCAAATTCTCACCCTCCTGATTTTCCCATACTGTTACAATAGTCCTTCACAGGGAGTTATAATTCCATCAGTCTGCTATTTAAGTATGTCCTGACATTGCTGGTACAAAGTCAGACAGTCCATCGTCCATTGTCCAGATACGTTCAACAGTTTCATTGGGAGTCCATCTTTGACTTAGAAATAGGGATGCATGTTACAGTGTGCCTTCACATCTGGATATGGTAGTCTCCATTACTCTATCATCATACATTCCAATTTGTATGATGGTTTCCTTATATTAGAGAGAACATGGTATTTATTTTTGGGGGATTGGTTTTTCACTGATAATGGTCTCTATTTGGGATGATCTAGTTCCAAATGGTATAATTTTATCCTTTTTAATGGTTGAGTAATACCCCATGGAGTAAATGTACCACAGTTTCTTTAATCACTCCTCTTTGGATGGACATCTGGATTGTTTCTATGGCTTTGCTATTGTAGATTGTGCTGCTATAAATACAGGATTACAGATCCTCTTCTCATATACAGTTTTAATTTCCTAGGAGTGGGATAGCTGGGTCTATTTGTTTGCTTTCAGATGCTGCTATAAACATTATCCTTCTAAAATCATTTCTTTTCAGTATTCTAGAAACTGTGTATTTCTTAAACATATGTGAAAATTCACCAGAGAAGTTACACAGACCTGGGACTCACTTAGTAGGAAAGATTTTAATTACAAATTTAGTTTCAGTTTCTTTCAGCCCTATGCTACTCAAGTTGTGGTCCATGGACCAGTGTTAGTATGTAAATCATTTGTATCAGCGTATGAAAAAAGTACAGAAATGAGATTTAAGCAGTTATTAATTTCATACTGCTATGTTTTTACTATATTTTATAAAAGTATTGATCACCAATATTTTGAGAAACACTTCTTCAACAGTTACAGGACTATCACTTTTTTCAATCTATGAACTATACCTTATTTCATCCCCTAAATCTCTCTTCTCTGGTTTTCCATTCTTTCACATACTTATGTTTCACTGTGCTTCCAATCCAGCCCCAGCAGATGATGGTCCAAGTGCTTGGTTCCTTGTCACTCACACAGGGGAGCTACACGGAGCTTCTGGCTCCTGTTTTTGACCTGCACCAGCCACAGCTGTTGTATTTATTTGGGCAATGAATCAGCAGTTGAAGACCTTTCACTGTCACTGTGCCTTTCAAATAAGTCTAAAAAACTTGTATGGTAACTCTAAGATCTGGAGTCACTTGCTGATTTACTCAGTTTCCATTTATATTCACGAATGCCCAGCTGCCTGCCTCACTATTTGAGTTTGCTTGTGTGTTAGATTCATATGAAGAACTGTAGCAATCATTCATGGCTCTGGATGACGTTCTCTTCCTCCAAATGCCTTTCTCCCTGGACACTGCTTTCTCAATTGTCCTCCATTTTGCTTGGAAAGTAACTACTAATGGACTATTAATCCATGATCTCACTGATCTAATTTTAGAAACTGGCCTTTGTTCTTAAGTAAGCTGACCTGCTTACTTCTTTTATATCTTTACAATTAGATTTATCTTTCCGGTCCTGACACATCTATGACAGGCATCTCAGGCCTCCAATATGCTTTAAGAGGCTATGAAAGGTGAACTCAATGAACTTATCTAAATTGCTTGTTCAGATATGAGCAGAAACTTCTCTGGGAAGGGAATCTTCAAATACTATGCCCATCCTCATGGATTTCTGCCTACTCCCAGAACTTCACAGAGGTTTACTTTATTCTATAATGTCTTCAAGCAGATGTTCTTATATTCTGTTTGGCTTTTCTACTTATTCTTAACAGATTCTTTAAAAAGCTTTATTTACTTACTTGAAAGATAGAGAGGGGAACAGAGATAGATATATATTTTTCCCACATCTGCTAGTTCATTCTTTTTTTTTTTTATTTATTTTTATTATTATTTTTTTTTTTATCGGAAAGGAGGATATACAGAGAGGAAGATCTTCTGTCCGATGAGTCACTCCCCAAGTGAGCGCAACAGGCCGATACTATGCCGAGCCGAAGCCAGGAGCCTCTTCCGGGTCTCCCACGCGGGTGCAGGGTCCCAAAGCTTTGGGCCGTCCTCGACTGCTTTCCCAGGCCACAGGCAGGGAGTGGAAGGGAAGCGGGGCTGCCGGGATAGAACCGGCGCCCATATGGGATCCCGGGCGTGCAAGGTGAGGACCTTTAACCACTTGCGCCACCGCGCCGGGCCCTGTTAGTTCATTCTTAAGATGCCTGCAACAACTAGGAGCCAGGCCATTCAAACGGAGGGTCCCAAAACCCAGAGCCATTATCTGTTGCTTTCCAGGTGTAGAAAGCTGGATCAGAAGCTAAGCAGCTAGAGCCCGAATCAGAACTGCAGTATGGGATGTAGGTATCCCAAGTAGGGCTTTAGCAGATGGCTCCATAACACATGCCTTTCTTCTGTTTTCTTTCTTTTTTTTTTCTTGGTTTTAAATAGAAGGCTTTGTTTCTTTTTTAAGATTTATTTATTTATTTTTATTGCAAAGTCAGATATACAGAAGAAGAGAGACAGAGAAGATCTTTTGTCTGCTGATTTACTCCCCAAGTGACTGCAATGACCAGAACTTTGCTGATCCAAAGCCAGGAGCCAGGAGTTTCTTCTGGGTCTCCCACGCAGGTGCAAGGTCCCAAGGCCTTGGGCTGTCCTCCACTGCTTTTCCAGGCCACAAGCAGGGAGCTGAATGGGAAATGGGGCTGCTGGGATTAGAAGCAGTGCCCTATGGGATCTTGGCACATGCAAGGTAAGGACTTCAGCTGCTAGGCTACCATGACAGGTTCAGAATCTTTTTCTTTTTTAATGATTTATATATTTTTATTGGAAAGGCAGATTTACAGAGAGAAGGAGAGACAGACAGAGGGTCTTGCATCCACTAGTTCATTCCCCAAATGGCTGCAACAGCCAGAGTTGAGTTGAGCTGAGCTAAACTGAAGTCGAGAGCCAGGAGCCTCTTCCAGGTCTCCCATGTGGGGCCATCCTCCGCTGCCTTTTCAGGCCGTAAGCAGAGAACTGGATCAAAAGTGGGACAGCCGGAACACAAACTGGCACCTGTAAGGGATGACAGTGCTGCAAAGTGGAGGATTAGGTTAATGAGCCATGGTGCTGGCCCCAAATAAAAGTTTATTTTTTACTTATTTCAAAGGCTGTGTAAGACTGTGTGTGTGTGAGTATTAGAGAGAGAGAGAAACAAACTAGAGCAAGATCTGTCATCTGCTAATTCATTCCCCAAATGTCTGCAACAGTAAGGGCTTGGCCAGGATGAAGCCAGGAGGCAGGGCCCCATTCACTTGAGCCCAGGTGCATATTATCAGGAAGGTGGATCAGGAATGGAGGAGGGGAGGAAGGGAATATCACTATGTTCTTAGAATAATATAATATATACATATAATAATATATATGTGTTTATATATGTATATATATGTTCTTAGAAATTATATATAAAAACTCAGGCTGTGAATTTCCCAAGAGAAAGCTTAGTGGGCTCCTAGCAGTCTTCCTAGTCTTCTGTGGTTTTAATGTTACCTCCACAGTATCCTTAAATGCTTCCAGTGTCCATGGAACATTTTCCTTATTAGATCAGTGTTAATAATCAATATTGAAATAATAGTCTTACC